TGTTGGAAGGGGGAAAAGTTCTCTTGGATCAACAACTCAAGGTAGAGGTCGAGTTGCTACAGGAGCTGTAAGTGCTCCAAAGAGAACCACTTTAAAACCATTGCACTGGGTAAAAGTTACTCGAGCAATGCAGGGGAGTTTATGGGCCGACTCCCAAAAGCAAGAAAATCAATCAAGGTGCATGAACTTTTTGAGTTTTCTACTGATTGGATGATCCACATTGGTGTTTAAGATTGTAGAGCATATACTTTATTCAATGGCGAATTCAAATTATTGATGAAACTATCGTAATCTTATCTTTGGAAAATTAAAAAAGGTTTTTTTATTTGCTTCGATCTATCCATTTCCTAAATTAAGAAAGTCTTCATATGCACTTTATTTTTTGGAACCTATTCTAGGTTTCTTTGTTTTATATTTGCTGGTTGTCTTTTGTATTAGTTTTTGTCCCTTATTTTCTCTCTTCAATTTTCGTAGCTTCTTTGGCTGTGTTATTATTATTGAGTTGCATAGGGGTTCCTATCATTCTCATTCCAAGAATCCAAATGATGATCTTATAGGGCCCCAGAAATAGACATCTCTGAACTTGAAAGTCTATTCTCAGCTGCCTCTGCTTCAGATGGAAGTGGCAGTAAAGGTGGAGGACGACGTGGTTCCAACATCCACAAACCTGAAAAAGTGCAACTGGTTAGTTGTTTTTCATTCTTTCTTATTCTTCCTCGGCATAATTTTTTTAATTTCATTTCCTTCTTATGATTTTGATTCATGAAGCTCAATGAGGGAAGTTGGCTGGAGCATTTGGTCATTTCCCCCTATTTACTTGGTTTTTCTGGTCAAATTTGTGACGTGGTTCTGTATCATTTTGTCAGGTTGACTTGCGGAGAGCATACAACTGTGAAATAATGCTCTCAAAAATAAAGATTCCTCTTCCGGATATGATAGTAAGTGAATTTTCTTTCCATTATGTTTCATAGTTTGCTATTTGGGTTGATGGGTTTGAACATAAATTAGCTTTCTCCAAGATTATGATTTCTCTGCATCATCAAGTTAAGTTTGGTAACAAATTTAGTTTTATTTTTTGCAGAATTCAGTTCTTGCATTGGATTCTTCTGCTCTTGATATTGACCAGGTCGAGAATCTCATTAAGTTTTGTCCTACGAGGGAAGAGATGGAAACATTAAGGGTACTTCCCTCCCACCTTACTCTCTCACTGTACATATTACTACATTTTGTCATTCCAAAAATTTTGGTGACTCTATCAAATGTTATACTGCGGTTGGGTTGAAGTCGCCATGAATCTGGCGAATCTTAGCAGTTGTGAAATTTGTATGTAAAAATTAAAAGTCTGGTTAGTTATCTAGCAGTAGTCCATTGAACAACATATGAGGGTTACTTTTTTCAAATTAGTTCCACATTTTCCTCCTGTTAGGTTTTGCAATTCCAACTAGTTATGGATTTATTCATATATATTAAATTTTAGCATTATTTTTGTTACATGAAATTTCACTCATCTTACAAGAGAAGCGTTTGACCTTACAACACTTGGCATCAACAAGCTTGTTGGATTTTTGACATCTTATCTAGAATGTAGATGACCACCATAACTTAAAACTCACGACATTCAAACATCGGGTGTACCAATTGCTCATTGATCATTGTGCAAGCATTATGTCTGAGTTAGATGTCTCTTTTTGTCTAAAGATCCTTAAAAGCCATATGAAATTTTTAATTGTTTCCTTTTCCTGACAATGATTCAACATGTGCATATTTCCAGAGTTATACTGGTGACAGAGAAATGCTTGGAAAGTGTGAGCAGGTACTTAAATTGCATCCAATTTGTTTACCATGCATAAGCCCCGATGTAATTTCTGTAACACATGCTACTTCGTGCCTTTCCAGTTTTTTCTCGAGCTAATGAAGGTTCCACGAATAGAGTCCAAGTTAAGAGTATTTGCTTTCAAAATCACCTTCTCCAGTCAGGTCCGTTGTCAAATTGTTTCACAAAAGCTTTTATGCTATTTACCTGCAGTAAACCATTTTAGCTCTAATTTTGGACAGGTGAATGATTTGAGGTATAATTTGAACACAATAAATGATGCTACAAGAGAGGTACCCTTCCACTTATTAATGTTTTTAAAGCGAATCATATCAAATATGTTTTAGACCATATTTATTTTTTAGTTTGAAGTAACAGGTAAAAGAATCTGCAAAATTGCGTCAGATTATGCAAACAATTCTTACTCTGGGAAATGCATTGAACCAGGGTACCACTCGAGGTAGATATCTCATCCTTATTTCCATTTTATTCTATATAGTCTTGTTAAAGACATTCTTAAGTTGTGATAGACCAATTGGAAATACTAACAAAAGAATTCTGTCTTCAATGACTCTTTGATTTCTTTCCAACCAAAGACCACCCGGAAGAAAGCTTCAGTGGCACACTTTTAAAGGATTTTTGCTTTTTCTTTCAACACCAAAGAGCTATGAAACTCTCAATGAAATGATGTGAAAATTGCTTCTTTTCTGATGACTAAGACCACGGCATTATATTTAGTCTGCAATAATGGCTTTCATATCAATCTTGATATCATTAGCTTCATAAGGACCTCTCCCTCCAATCTTTTTCCCATGAACAACAATCTTCCAATTCTGAACTCTTCCATGCTTCTTGGTTGTTCACTTGATCCTTTCTCTGTGTGTGTCTCTCAAGCATACATTCTCTCCGGTCTAAGGGTAATCACTTATATATTTCGCCAATTAATCAATCATGCAAACTGTTCAGTCCACGCTTGAGAGCATGTGTCCARTTTGTGAAGAGAAGAGGAAGCAGGCAAGGCTTTGCTTGCCAGTCTAATGTGTACTTTGACAAATTTATCTTTGCGTTTGCATTGCAGGCTCTGCTATTGGTTTTAAGTTGGACAGCCTCCTTAAATTGTCTGATACTCGTGCAAGAAACAACAAAATGACTTTGATGCATTATTTATGTAAGGTAAATCTAGATACTTTTTGTCCGTGCTTGTACAATTAGGTTGTTTCTTTTACCAAAATTCTGATCTATAACAGATGATTTCAGATGAATATGTTTCTATTTATTTGGTCGACATTTGTGTCAAGTATGCAACTATAAATAGTTTGTCCACGTCTCTTTAAAATCATTGTCACAGTTCTTCTATTTATTGGGAGTTCATTTATATTTTTCCAAAGATTAGCATTTAAATCTGTCTTGTTCCTTCTACTGGTTTCATTAGTGTTGTAATCTTTTTGGCTGAACTCCCCTGTTATTATTTTATTTCGATCTTTGTCAGTTTGCCTAAATTCCCCCCCACCCCCACCTCCCAAAAAAAAAAAGCTCCTTTCAGAGAAAATGCCAGAGTTACTAGATTTTGACAAGGACCTTCTTCATTTAGAAGCTGCCTCTAAGGTATGTTTCTGTGCTGCAATTTTCTAGTTCTAGCAATATATCTAATCTATGAATTAGGTGCACGTTTGCTTGCTTCTTTTATCTAATTTAATTGAATTTTATTAAACTAGATTCAATTGAAAGCATTGGCTGAAGAAATGCAAGCAGTGAGTAGAGGTCTTGAAAAAGTGGAGCAAGAGTTAACTGCTTCAGAAAATGATGGTGCCATCTCCATTGGTTTCCGGGAGGTGTGAAATTTAACATTCATTTGGTTCTTGCTAGGAATCTGGTTACTTGTTATCATATATATTCATGAGCTCAATAAGTTTCAAATCGTTTACTGCTCAGTGTTTAGGTTTGTTACTTTCTTCTCATGAAATGATAGCAAGTCCAAATAGTTGAGATATTCTTATGAATTGCAAGACATGCACGTCACACAATTCAACTTTTTTTTTTTTTTTAACAACCACCTCCAAAAAGAGAAAAGCAAAAACCAACTACCACACAATTCAACTTATTAATGCTTTCTGTTGATTAAAAAGGTATTAATTGTATAGAACTTAATTTAACATTTAATTGTAATTAACGTGTTATGTTAACTTATCATATGTGAGCATCTCCTTGTAAACAACATTTTCTATGTATATGTTTGGATTACATGTATTCTTACCGTGTATCAAGTTTCCAAATGTCATGATTTATAATAGTTATTATAGTAACTTCTGAAAATATCATCACAAGAATATTTTTTTTCAGGAAAAAATTTCATTGATAAGATGAAATTAGATTACAAAAGAGGGAGAGAACTCGATATGGGGTTACAAAAAAAGCTCTCCAATTAGATAATAAAGAAGCGAAACTATAATGATGAAAGAGAGTTAGTATGTACACCGAGAAATAACCAAAAAAATATAGACTCACAAATATTGTGAAGTGAGCGTTTCTTATCTTGGAAGATCCTCTGATTCCTTTCCATCTAAATGGACCACAGTAACTCCCGTACAAAATGTAACCAAAGACATAGTTTCTCGTTCTTGAAGGGATGATCAGTGAGGGTAGATGCGATGCCGATATAAGGTGCATATTTGTAGGAAGAGCAACCAACCAACTGAAGAGGGGAAATGATTTTGTTCCAAAAGCTAGGGGAAAACTTGCATGAGACGAAAACATGCCCAATTGATTCCCTATGCTGCTTGCACAAGATACACCAATGAGGAGAGACGTAGATAAAGGGCATTTGCCTTTGAAGCTTGTCTTGAGTGTTTATGGCATGAGCGCTAGTTGCTCTGGAAAGAATTTAATCTTCTTGTGATAATGTTCTTTCCAAATAGGACCAGAACTCTTTAACAGAATCAGATTTCCTGTTGTGTAGAGCAAAAAGTAGAGGATGAGTACGGCATAAAGGCTAATTTTTAAGCCAAACATCTTTCCAAAAGATAGGGAGAGAACCCTTGCCCACCTTATACGCAATTCTTTCCGAAATCAGTGATTTGTGCTTGTCAATATCTCTCCAAGGCCCTTTGGCAGACGCAAGGGAACGATTGCTGGAAGGATTTCGATGATCAGTAATGACATAATTATCCTCGATCACTCTTCTCCAAAGTGCATTGTCCTCTGAGAAAAATCTCCAATTCCATTTGGCAAGAAAAGCTCTGTTCTTATCTTTGATGCTGTAAAGGCCCAGCACACCTTCTTCATGAGGTTTCTGAACCTGATCCCACCTTACTAAGTTTTTCCCCCCCTTATTGTTTGAACCCTTCCATAAGAAATTCCGGATGGGTTTATAAGCACAAGAAAATAGGTGGAGAGCTAAGGCAAAATAAAGATTTATTTGATTGATTCTCAATGATTAATAAATGGGAAGCCCTACCGTTATAATTAGGTTAGCATTAAGATTACAATAGTTATCATTTAAGGTAAACTGGATTACCCTTATAACCAATCCTACTTACTAAACAAAATAAAATGATGACAATTACAAAATTAACACTTGGGGCAGACATCTTTTTCTGATTACTAAGACTCTAGCATCATGTTTAGTCTGCACTAATTTTCATATCAATCTTGATATCGTTGGCTCCATAACGACCTCTTCCTCCAACTCTTTTTCTCATGAACAGAAATCTTCTCATTCTGAACTCTTCGAATGAAACAGGCCTCATGAGATCCTGAACATTGATATGAATCTTACTTTCTTCTATATCAATGTGTGCATGCTAGACGTTGTCCTCAAGTTTTATTTTCTTCCCATATTAGTGTAATTATCTTCTTTTCATTATTAAAAAATTTAGGGTTCTTGAGAAGTTGTTATTTTCAGGTGCTGAAAAATTTTCTTGATACTGCCGAAGCTGAA